CATTTCTAAATTGCCTCTGGAAGGCCTACAGTTTAAGGCTGCCTGTGTCCCAGCCCTTCAATAAGCAATTTTATGACTGATTTTCTTCATGAGAAATAACTGCAGAARCAACTCTGTATTGCAGATTCCTGAGCTGAGTTTAAAGAGAACACAGTGAAATGTTATTAAAAAACATCACTTATATAAAAGAAGACATTTAGGCATGTTCATTTCAATTTATGGAGCTCCCATTGGTAAAATTTTACCCATTCCTATTTCTGATAGTGATTTTTTCCTTATCTGTTTTACTGAAAAATAAGAAGACTGAACAATCTCCCATAAAAATTCTGGCATTTGTCATGAAACAGCTTAGAACAGATAATACAGTGATAAATTTACTGCCAGGTAATGACATAACATAATGGCTGGTGAAAGAGAATGCAAAAAACAAGATATAAATCTAAATCTCTGCTTCTTTAATGAAAAGTGTCAGAGTTTGGGACTCTATTCCAACCCTAGGGAATCACCTAGAACATGGTGCTTTCCATGGAATTCATCCTGGGGTGTAGAGCACTAATCCTACAATTCCAGGAGTGATTTGAATTTTAAATCCAGGGGTGTTCATTAARCCCCTTCACTATTGGGTTGTGTCAGTTGTTTCTTTAGCACTAAAGGAGGAAAAAAAGAAAAAAATGTGGAGTAGAGTGGAAAAATTCAAGGTAAAATAACTGAAATGAAACAAGCTATGGCAACTTCAGCCATAACACTCTTCAAAACACCAACAAATACTGAATCCACGTTTTAGGAAAGCAACTGGAATTCTCTCTACACCTTTTYCAGATGAAAAACAGCACTCAGTGTGTTTATACACCAGCAGAATTATCTAAATCAGCATTTATTTACCAGCCAGCAAAGGGGATGTCCCTTAGCCATGAAAAATTCATGGAATAGGGGTGGAGATTTCACTTTCTTGGCTCTGCAAACCTGCTCTGTCTTAATACTCAGGGAAAAAACAACCTTGTCTTTCATGATTTTAATCTGAGCTCAAAGCATCTTAAACCTGAATATAAGCAAGGACTATCTTCAACTCTTACTCACACTCAGCAAAAATCAATTATGCCAGAGAGAATATCTGATCTGAACTGTTTTACTTTCTATTAGYAATTAAATACATCTTGAAATAAGGGCTGATTTGTAGAATTTTTACTCACTTAAGGGTGAGACTGCAGAAATCTTCACTTACCCCATCCATCAGCTGAGTTGCATATTTAAAATGTTCATTAATGGGAGAGTCAGCCACGTATTTGAACTGGGATTTGGTCTTCTCAAACATCTCCTTGTACTTGCACTGGAGCAAAAGGAAACCAAACACACAAAAAAACATTGCAGAGTTAATCCAAAGAAAGGTAAGGCAATAAAAATATGATTTTAGAGAGAACTTGTGGCAAAACCATGGTGGAATTATTGTATTTGTGTGTTTAACTTTTCCACAAAAAACAAATTGAAAAGGTACAGAAAATATCAAAATTTCAGCAAGAATTCAGAGGGTTTTACTCACCCCACTGTAGAGCACTTTATTCTGCTCTGCCAGGACAAAAGTTGGAGTATCCCACACATAACATCCAGTACCTTTGAGCCATGCCAGGTCTTCCTTGTATTTCACCTTTAGGAAAGAAGCAGAAAAGCTCAGTTTTAAGGAGATAATCACTGCTGAAATGGCACCTCAACACAAGGTGTGGCAAACAGAGTTACTGTTATTATTACTACATTATTATTCCATTCTAAAATAAATCAGTTTCTCCTATTTTTGTGATGAGCTGAAGTTATTCAGACACATAATTTATCATTTTTTTTGGGGTTCCTGTGTGAATTAAAAATAATCTTGTACAGTTCAGGGRTTACTGTGTATGTACAGATATATACAATTAAATGTTGTTACATTGAAATTAATTACATACAATTAAAATTATTATGTTCACTATTATGTTCATATGAAAAGGGGATGTGCTGCAATTTTAGCCACCAGATTCTCCCTATCATATTCAAAGTCTGCCAGGGCAAAGTGTAAATCACCAAAAAAATTTCATCTGCCTCCCCTTCCTTGAGAAGGAAGGTTTGGGTTTCATTCTGGAGGRATTCATGCAGGAGCTGCTGGAACTCACATCACTGATGGCATCCGTGACCAGGCGGTGATGGAAGTGCTCAGGACGGTCTGGGATGGATCTCCAGATTCCCAGCTGGCTCATGTAATTTTCTTTATATTTGATCTACAAAAAAAAAAAGGAAAAAATGAGTGAAAAAAATTGAAGGGAACACTCCAGACCACACAAAAATTTTGGTTTTTGTTTTCTTGAAAGAGCAGAACTAAAGCAGTGGAAATGAGATTAATTTGTGACATCAACAGCAATCACTATTCCAGAGAAGGGAAGAAATCAATACCAACAGTGCTGACATTTTTCTAATTATTTGACACAATTAAATGGAATAAAAGCAGAAATGGCCTATTCTAGGTTATTAAATGACAAACACTAATTAGGAAGGAAAATGTTGTACATACACTGCTGATGTCATCAGTGACTTTCCTGTGATAGACAATGTCCAGAGCATCTTTCACMGTGTGGTACTTGCCCTTGGTGTTCTCAAAGGTCTCTTTGTAACGTAGCTGGGAAGGAAAAAAAACACACAAAAGAAGGGATTAACATGCCAGGAATTGTTCCAGGTAAATCTCTCACTTCTCAGGAATCAGAACCAGGGATGTGCTGCTGTCTGACATCCCAGTGTAAACCCTGAGGAATTTTAAGAGGCTGCAATTGCCTGCAATCAGAGATTTGTGGAGAAAATTAGAGAGAATTTCACCCAATTCACTTTCATATTGAAGGAAAAATATCCCTGGATTACAGGACTGCTCTCTAGAACAGCACAGCTGCCACTTCTGGCTTAAAAAAACTATTTATTCCTTTTTCATATCCTCATGGAGAAGAAAGCAGGAAGATCATCCCAGTCTGTGCAGAAAGACTTGCTCAGAGGAGAAATTCCAATGTTTAGAGGAGCTGGGATGCTCCTCTGCAGWATTTAAAAATCCCTCTTAGAGCAGCAAGACTGAATAACCCTAGAAAAAAAAAAAAGCCCTGCACTTGTCCTTTCATATCCTGCAGGTTCTGAAATATTTGGAAAAGCTCTCATAAATGAGCATTTTGGCATTGTCTTAAATCACAAATAACCATTCCACGCTTGAAGAAAAAAAAACAATTTCACCTTAACAACCTCCTGTGCAGCAGCTCAGGTYGTTTTTCTCTCTAATCTACTTGTGAATTAAAAAATGAACACATTCTCAGTGACAGGGCAGTTTAAAATTTACTTCTAACAYAAAACTGAGATGAAAAAGCTGATAAAAGTTAAATTCCATCCTGGCCCCAGCATCAATCATTTCACTCCAGGCTGCTCTATTTGGAGATTTGATGTGTGAGCAAATTAAATCTGTTTTCATTTTGTTGTAAGACCACACTTCAGTGCAATGAGAAATGAAAATTAATTATAATAATTGGGGGGAAAAAATTGCCATGAAATCAAATCAAAACTTTATAACGTTCCCAATATCAAATGGAAATGGACATGCAAATATTTATGATCCACACAGAATTTTCCCTGTTTTTTTTTTATAAGGAACCCAAGGAAAAGCAGCAGAGGGAGTGTTCCTGGAGTACTCACATCGCTGGCATTCAGGTAGGCTCTCTTGGCTCTGATCAACACAGGGGTGTCAGGGACAGGGGTGTATTTRTCCTTCATCTTCTCATACTGGGTTTTGTACTTTTTCTGAGAGAGACAGCAAAAGGAAAGAGTTGTAATTGCAATTTTAAAAGTTACCAATCCGCAAAAAAACTTACCCTAAAAAATACTAAAATATATTTTCAGAATGTTTTATTTCACCAGAACTTACAAAGGAAACATGGAATTTAAGTATAAGAGAAAAAAAAAAGGAAAAAAAGAAAAAAAAAAAGAGAAAAAAAAAAGGCCAAACAGATCTGAGCCTTGAAATTAGCACTAAAATTAGAAATAAAGCTTTTSAAAGAGTTCAGTATTGTGGTAGCAAATTAAAAAAGAAAAGATTTTACCTCACTGATCATGTCCTTGACATTCCTGGCATGTGTAAAGGCTTGAGTCTGACCATCAGCATGGTGGTGGGGTCTCTCTTTTGTAGCAAGTTCCACATACAAGTACTGCAGCAAGAAGAAAATAATTTAAAAAATCAACACTTCAATGAAACTTTTCTTTAATTTCTGAAAAACACTGAAAAGTCGCAATGTTTACCCAAATTTCATTGTTTTGAAATGGCCTGGAAAGCTTTTACTGTCCTTTAACAATACATTCAGGAGGATTCCCTGACTGAGTTTCATATCAGCACAAATTTTTCACCTGGCTCTGTATTTTCTGTCCTGTCTTGGCTCTTATGAGGTCAGGTGTATCAAGGATGGAAGTGTATTTTGTCTTCAGCTCGTTGCCTGCAGCTCTGTAGACCAGCTGGAAAAAGACAGGTCCAGGAGTTATTTCTTCTGCTGTTATTTAGGAGCTGAAAGACACAGCTTTGCAATTCTAAAATCCCATAAATTTCATGGGGAGGGGTTAATTACAGCTTCAAAATTGTGCAGAAAAACAGAATTTACCTCACTCAGATGTGTTTTTAGCTCCTGCACTGCTCTGTACCCAGGGGTATCCAACACCACCTGGAATTTAGGCCACATCTTCTTGGCAGTACTTGTGTAGATGTAATTAGACTGGAAAGGAAAATCAGSATTAATAAAGGAAAATTTACAAAAGTGCTTTGAAACAACTAATTGGCTGCATGGCACAAAATTCTATTCTTTGCTCATTTTCATGTGTTTTACTTCCTGCACACACAGGAATAAATGAATTGTTGTCATATTTGGTTCCCAAAGGAAAAGTCTTACCCAGAGCTTCCGGAGCTCGCGAGCACGGACCATGTCAGGGGTGTCATACAGGAAACARCCCAAACCTTTCAGCCACCTCAAATCCTCTTTGTATTTATTCTGTGAAAGAAATGAAAACCAACAGTCCACTTTGGGGAAAATCCCAATCATCAGTCGCTAAACTCAAGATGGAAGTGAGAGAAGCCCAGCAACACTGGCAGTTCAGAATTTGGGTGCTGCCAGGTGAGCAGGAGGTGCTTACATCACTGGTGATGTCCCCAACGTAGCGACAGTGCAGCACTTGTGGGGTGTAGGGCAGGGAGATCAGGTGGCCCTGCATCTTGAAGAAATCTGACTTGTAGATGAGCTGCAAAGAGAGAGRACAACACAGCATTTCTGATGTTTGGGCAGGAATAATCCCAATTCTTCCCTGGTTCTGTTAGGATGGCTCTTACATCACTGACAGCCTCCTGGGTGGCTCTGACTTGGCGGATCTCGGGCGTGTCGGGGGTGGTGTGGATCTTGTCCTTGTTCTTGTGGTAAGTTGCTCGATACAGCCTCTGCCCCAAGAGACAACATTTTATATTTTAACACATCTTAAAACATCACAAAACTTTGAAATGGTAAAGGAGTTCAGCACAGTGTAAGAACTTCTCACACAAATTACTGTTTTCTACCCAGCCAAAGATTTTCCATAATCGTTTTCAATAGGAGAATCTCACTCTGTTCCTAAAATCATGTAAATACAAATKTTTAATTCTCATCCTACWAAAGCCARTGAWGAAAGAAGTTAATAAATATATATAAAACCTAAAACTTGGAATATACATAATCCAAAATTGTTTTCAATAGGAGAATCTAAGACTCTAATCCTAAAATCATGCAAATACAAATGTTTAATTCTCATCCTACTAAAGCCAATGATGAAAGAAGTGAATAAATAGATATAAAACCTAAAACTATTGAGATCCAACTTTATACAGGTAGAATAATTTCTATTCAACTTTAATCACAGCTATTAAAATCAGGCTGCAATTTTTTTACTATGATAACAGTTTCAGCCTGGATCAATGATCCTTCACCCTTTTGATGGATACTTCTCTAAAAAACATTTTGTTTTTTAAAACCTCAGAGAAGATGGATTCTACAACTTCCCAGTCAATGTAGTCTGATTATGTATATTTTGGATATACATAATCCAAAATAGTTTTCAATAGGAAATCTCAGATTTTAATCCTAAAATCATGTAAAACAATGTTTAATTTCCATCCTACTAAAGCCAATGACGAAAGAAGTTATTAAATATATATAAAACCTAAAACTTTGGATATACATAATCCAAAATATGTATAATCAATATAATTCCAATTATTAGTACAATTCAAAGCAAATACATATATGTGCTATACCTCATTAATGACTTGATTGACTTTCTTCACATTTTCAAAGCCAACATCTTTAGGCCCCAGAGTGTAGCCCTTGGCTTTCATGTGTTCATAGGCTTCTTTATATTTCAGCTATAAAAAGTACAAAACCACACAGAAATTAAATTTGATTGTGATTCTCCCTACACTGCAGTTCTGACAGCAATTTATGCTGTATAAAAAGACTTTTTATAGTTTTTTACAGATAAATGAGATGTAGGTATATCAGAGTTAAATACATTACACACCATAATTGTTTCTACCTTTATCATATGACCGACGTTAATAATATATTCAGTTTCTCCTGAGTTTAATAAGGTATTTACATGTTTCTGAGGAAATTTTTGTTTTGATAGTCAMRGYCCAAATTGAGRGTCCCTTAAGTGGGCCTGCTGACCWTTSCCATGGTGTAGAAGGACTCAGTCCCTGACTTACATCACTGCCAATGTGCTGGACGTGTTTGGCGTGCTGGAAGCTCGGMGTGTCCGTGGGAAGGCTGTACCCAGTGGGCAGAGCATTCACACCAGCCCAGCGATACAAATTCTGCAAAAGGAAAGAAAAAAAATCTTTAAWCTGTGTGCAATATCTGAGGGGAAAATCCCCCCATCTCAGAAATCTCTCAGTTGTGGCAAAAGATTTCCCCCGCATCCTTGTAGCTTAAATGAGGGTATWTCCCACTTTTATTTCAGAGCAGTGACACACAGTTTCACCTGAAAAGCTAAAATGAGATACTGACATTTTAAAAATTTGTTTTTTCACTATCACAAACTCTGTGGAGTCCAAAGTTTTGTACTCACTTCACTCTGTATTTTGTTTGCATTATATGCCCGCTCTAAATCCACTGTTTTATCTGTGGGGATCATCTTGCCTTGGACATTCTGTTTGTAATCACCACGATAGACAGCCTGGCAAAGAAAAAAAAAGTCATAATTGTCATGTATGTTCTGTTTGCATGCAGTGGGAATTGCTCCTAAAAAAACAGATGAAGGTTTTTTTCTGGCAATTAATGATTTTACTGATTGCATCTACCATGAGGCGTAGATAACCAACAATGATTAAAATTGAATGATTTTAAATTAGAAGTTATATTACTAAAGCTGGTGAGGTAACAGCATTTGGAMTATTGGGTGGAAGCTGATACAAACACTTACTTCACTCAAATTCAAGGCACTGAGTACATTCTGGACATAGACAGGAGTGTCTGTGACCACAGTGAAGTCTTTCTTCATTTTTTCTGCCTTAGATTTGTACTTAATCTGCAGAGAGAAATGCAAGAGTTCTAACTTGTAAGGCTTGTAATTAACTGAATTGATTATATTATCATATTTACTATGCTTACCCTTTATTTTATCAATTAATTATTTTATTAGCAAACCAGCATTGAAACAGAAAGCATTTTGAAATGATGGTGGGTTATTTAATGCATCCTTCACTCAAGAAGGATAAATAACATTTTCCAGGYTACACCTGGAGTAGAATAAAGCTACAAGGGAGTGAAAAAGAGGACTAAGGAGCAAACCCAGTGTGTCCACTCACATCGCTGCGAAGGTCRTAGGCTTGCTTGGCGTGGAGGATTTCAGGAGTGTCCCAGACAAAGCAGCCAATGCCTTTCAGCCAGTTCAGATCATCCTTGTAGATCACCTGAAATTGCAAAGCAGAGAAGGAACCTGTCAGAATTCCACTGGGATCTAATCCCTTCTTTCTAAACCCGTCTGAAACACAACTGACAAACGATGGCAAGAGGGGTTCTACTGCTTTGACTCTATTTGTTTGAGAAAATAAAAAAAATTCCTTTTGGAATTTAAGTAATTTTTGTTCAATTTGCTTCAATTAGACCAATAACTTAAAAAATCAATTTGTTTTTTTTTTTTAAACTACCTGCACATCTGACTGGGYACTGATTTACTGCCAGATCCTGCTCCTGGGCTGATCTACACAAGGTAAATGTGCAGAAGCTTTGTGCAACCAGGATTTCACTCAAACTTCCAAAGATTCCACACCTCATGCAACCAAATAAAGGACAATTTACAGACAGGGATGGCTGAATGGGGACAATTGCAATGTTATGGCCCAAATGCCTACTTTGATAACACCAAAATTACTGAAATTGTTGCACAGAAAGGTTGTGGCCTCCCCACCCTGGAAGGGTTTAAGGCCAGGTTGGACAGGGCTTGGAGCACCCAGGGACAGTGGGAGGTGTCCCTGCCCATGGCAGAGGGTGGAATAGAAGAGCTTTAAGGTCCTTCCAACCCAAACCATTCTGGGATTTTCTGATTTTCTTCAGCTCAACTACACATTTATTGCCAAGCGTTACAAAACCACAACACAACAGAGTCAAGCAGCAACTTCAAAATGCTCCAGCAAAACTTTTGCCAAATAATTTCCTCTAGCAAAGCATAAATAAAGGAATGTTTCCAAAAATGATCCAGGTTTGGGGACTCACATCACTGATTTGGTCGGTGACTGTTCTCACGTGGGCGTTGACCTGCAGGTCTGGCAGGCAGATCCACTCGTGGAGCCGCGTGCGATAATCGACCTCGCTGATCTTCTTCTGGGCATCCTTGGCTGAAATGATGTCCACCATGTCTGGGACAATGTGCACCTTGGCTTTGGTCTTCTCATAGGCTTCTTTGTACAGGCGCTGTGGGATTGAAGCAGGAAGTGTTGGTAAATTTGGAGATCATTGATATTTTCATGGGTTGTCAGTGGGAGAGCGAACACTTTTAATATTTACATCTGGCCCGCTCCAAAAAGAATTTGCAGAG